AAAGTCAAATTCATCTCCTTAAGACTTGTGAAGTCAAAGTGTGACAAACATTTAGGAACGGAGGGAGTACGTTTTTTTCATTTGGCTACTAATATTTTATAATTGTGTTATTTATTATTTTTGTTTATGGTTTTTCTATTAATTATTATCTCTAAGCAAACAGTCATAGGGTGTGTGATACTTTAGGTTGCTGCCATTCATCTCATTTCAGCACCAAGTCTACTATGAATTTTTTACTCTAGGTTTCTCATTTTTTCATTTACAAAAAGCTTTTTACCCACCTGTAACATTCTGCACTTTGAAATTTGATTCCCTTAAAATATTGCAGTATTTTGAACACCAAATTAAACTCTAGGCTTTGCATTGGTTTTTTATTTGTGGTATAACACTACTACTTTAAGATTGTTTCTAATAAATAATAAGACTTTAATATTTATGATATCTGTAGTTTTCTGAATTTGGACCTCATATGAACCAAAGGCACTTGCCATAAATACTTCGTATGTGTTTTTTGCTGATACTTAACGCGTTAGCTAATAAATTTATATAATTATATAAAAACAAAGAATGTTTTCTTGCTTCTTTGTTTAATTAAGCGACATGTTTGTTTTGCACTCATATGTGTTATGAACTTATAATATGTATGTACTATATACAAATTGAAAATAGAAATTTATACCTTTTGTTATATTTTTTTCTTAACAAATCTATACTAATCTTACCACTAAAATTAACCCAAATATCTAATGGCAAGTATTTCAACATTACGAGGTGCTGCTTTTTTTAGAAAATGCTAAGAAAACGTAAATCAGACATTTCTTTGTTTAGGTTTTGTTGCTGATTTTTGAATTTTGGAGCATCATTTTCCTTGTACTCAAATTGTTTATAAAACATGGTTCACTCACATGTGTTTCTATTTTAAAATAGATCATCAACCCAGACAATCTTTTGCTCTTTTAGACATTCTGGCTAAAAGGTAGACTATTATCGAGATTGATTTTGATCTATTTTTTATAGTCCATATGAAACACATTTGTTACATTATATAATGAGTGTACAGAGTATACTTTACTTAACTGCAACACTTAAAATATACTTTCTTCATGCTTTGAGTTTTTTGTGTGGAAAACTTTGAGATCGAGGTTGTTGGTGATTTTAGTATCACCAGATTCATTTTAGTGTAATGGAATTTACAGATTACCAATGGAGTTCAAGTTTAATTTTAGACAAGTTAGGAGGTGCGGAGCGCACACTTGTACGAAATTAAATTTAAACTTGGTTCGATTAAATGGCGGGGGTCAAGGGGGCTGCGCCCCCTTGCGGGGTCCAAGGGGCAGCGCCCCTGGCGGGGTCCACACTTGTGCTCAATTTTAGAAAACAATACATGGGTGCTATGTGATTTGCCACCAGGTTCTAAACCTTTGGGTTGCAAATGGATCTTCAAAAAGAAGATGAAGGTAGATGGAACTATAGATAAGTTCAAAGCACGTTTGGTAATACAAGGGTTTAAACAAAAACCAGGTATTGATTATTTTGACACATATGCACCAGTGGCTCGGATATCTACCATTAGATTGTTGGTTGGTTTGGCAGCCATCCACAATCTGGTTGTCCATCAAATGGATGTCAAAACAGCCTTCTTAAATGGAGAGCTTGATGAGGAAATTTACATGAACCAACCAGAAGGTTTTGTTATGCCCGGTAATGAGCATAAAGTGTGTAAACTTGTCAAATCCTTGTATGGTCTGAAACAAGCACCAAAACAATGGCATCAAAAGTTTGATGAAGTTATTTTATCAAGTGGTTTTAAGCTAAACCAATCTGATAAATGTGTTTACAGTCGGTTTGATTCAACCGGGTGTGGTGTGATAATTTGCCTATATGTTGATGACATGCTGATTTTTGGCACTGATCAACTTCAAGTTGATGAAACGAAAAGTTTATTGTCATCAAGGTTTTCCATGAAAGATATGGGGGAGGCTGATGTAATCCTTGGTATTAGGATTAAGCGGTTGAACAAAGGAATTGCTATGACGCAAGCACACTATGTTGAGAAAATTCTCAAGAAATTTAATTATAGTGAATGTTCTCCCGTGAGTACTCCCATGGACCCTAGTGTCAAATTAATGCCAAACAAAGGCAAGGCAATATCACAATTAGAATACTCTCAAGCTATAGGATGCTTGATGTATGCCATGACAAGCACTCGTCCGGATATCGCCTACGCGGTTGGGAGGTTGAGTCGGTATACTAGCAATCCTAGTACTCAACATTGGCAAGCAATTCAGAGAGTATTCAAATACTTAAAAGGAACCATGGATTATGGAATATGTTATCTTGGATATCCCTCGGTTCTAGAAGGATATACTGATGCAAGCTGGATAAATCACCTAGAAGATCATTCTTCTACAAGTGGTTGGGTATTCTTGCTTGGGGGAGGTGCCATTTCTTGGGCCTCTAAGAAGCAAACTTGCATTACAAATTCAATAATGGAGTCTGAATTTGTTGCTTTAGCTGCTGCCGGTAAAGAGGCAGAATGGCTAAGGGATTTGGTTTTTGAGATTCCATTATGGACAAAGCCAATTGCACCCATTTCTATTCGTTGTGATAGTGCTGCCACGTTGGCTAAGGCCTATAGCCAAGTGTATAATGGGAAGTCTAGACACTTAGGTGTTAGACACAGTATGATTAGGGACTTAATCATGAAGGGTGTAATTTCTGTTGAGTATGTGAAATCACAACAGAATTTGGCGGATCATTTAACTAAAGGTCTGGCCAGGGACTTAGTGCACAAGTCTGCGATTGGGATGGGTTTAAAGTCCATTTAATTCCATAATGATGAGACACCCAATTCCCCTCTAATATAATATTAGAGGTTGAATTCAATGAGGAAAGCTCATACTTAAGGAATGGAACACATGCATTTTGTCATCCCAGGTTAGTGTGTTCGGACCTGTAGTAAAAGGGTTGAATATATATTCTTAATAATTCCTTTGTTAAAATGTAAGCAGGTACATGATTAAAGGAATTACCTATATGATCGTGAAGTGTAGCCGCACATCGAAAAGTTGGGACTTGACTTTTATACGATTATGAATGGATTGGGACACTCGAATAATAGTGTCAAAGTTTTGAACTAGTTGTTTATTTGAACTTATGTGTATGTTATCTTCATGTATTCAAATGGGTTGAAGGGTTCAATTCTTAGAACACCCTGATTCTCGAGTATTTGGAATGTGTAATGTACTAATATGAAAATTCAATCGTTTCGATATTTTCATGTATGCATAAGTTTGGTTGTCTCTTATTCTTGTTTGTGTAGATTCATGGTTACACTAAAATGGGGGAGGATTGTTGGTGATTTTAGTATCACCAGGTTCATTTTAGTGTAATGGAATTTACAAATTACCAATGGAGTTCAAGTTTAATTTTAGACAAGTTAGGAGGTGCGGAGCGCACACTTGTACGAAATTAAATTTAAACTTGGTTCGATTAAATGGCGGGGGTCAAGGGGGCAGCGCCGCCTTGCGGGGTCCAAGGGGCAGCGCCCCTGGCGGGGGTCTCGCTGCCCGGTCAGCGAGCGGGGTCGAGGGAGGCCGCCCTCGCGGGGTTCGGGGCAGCGCCCCGTACCAAAATTTTATTTTATTAAAGAAATAAATATGGAAATTTATTTTCGGATAAACATGTCCATATTAATTATTTAATAGAATGACTTTCTGTTAGAGTAAAACTCTAACCGATTGGCCTTATCTCTTTGGTAATCAGAAGAATTCGAGTTCTACTAAAACTGCTAGTTCGTGGTCTATATATTGGTGCCTCAGTTTTAGACTGTCTCTCAGAGTGATTATCCCCATAATCTAAATTTCGTGTAACCCAGACATAGGGTCGAAATATTAGATTCGGAAAGTGATCACACGATACTCTGAGAAATCCGCCAGATTTTCTAAAACAGTTTCCCAACTCCCCAGTTCTAACAGAGGTCAATCCTCCGCTTCCTTTATTTGTCTGTGAGGATGCTTTCTCAAATTTATGAAGAAAATGAAATGGCATATTTTTTCAATTATGAATCTACTTGGGGAAATGAGATTTAACATAGATATAATATTTCTGTAAATGTAATTTTGCATTTAGGGTCCTAGCTAAGTTATTTTCTCATCAACTGCAGAATCTTGTTTCAAATTAAAAGCCAATTGGGACTATCAAATTGTTTTATTTCATTAAATTATCCAATTCCACCTGCATATATGACTGATCTTACACTGGAGATGTATATCATGATATTTATTGGAAACGGCTGAATATGCAAGAAAGAAAACAAAGGTGTGTGAAAAGCAGCATTCTTATTGGTGTTGACATAAATATATAGTATCAGCCCTTCCATCGGGGTACATACAACCAGACTATCTTCATAAAAAGAGGCACAATTGGGGGTAGATTTTTCATTTACAATTGGAGAGAAATATGTAAGGCCAAATTTGCATAGTGTTGTGCACATTTTACACTATGCAAATTTGGAGAGAAATAAATGTTTTTCTCTTATGTTTTCAATAAGAAATAAATTAATTTTTTAAAAGTGCCCCCTCACTCTCCATATTTATTTATTTATTTATTTATTTATTTATTTATTATTATTATTATTGTTATTTTCAATAAAAATAAATCAAAAGGAAGTTAAAGTTTGTCCAGAAGCAGAAAGGCCTAGCATCAAGTCTAGGGTTTGGTTTGGTTAAACGGCAGCACAGCACGACAACGCGGTTGATTTCAATGGTTCTCTCACGTTAGGGTTAGGAATGTTCTGATCTTCAGGTTTAACGAGTTGGGGTTTTTTCGTTTGACGACTAATCCTCTACGATTGCTTGCTGATCTTGGTGGTTGTGTTGATCTTTTCTTCTTCTAGTCATGGGGCACAGAGGGTTCTAATTCGTGTTTGCTTAACTCCGATGAAGTTTAATTTTAATGGACTACAGCGGGGCTGGAGGGAGCACGACTGGAGTATCATGTTTGGTTGTCTAGTTTTGTTATTTTAATGTAAACGTTCTCTTTCAAAATTATTATTATTATGACTTATTCAAAAGAAATAAAATTACAACAGCTTTCAATAAAGTTACTCATAATAGATCCGAATGATCTCTAGAAATACAACGGTTTATAAATAAATTTCAGTTCTAATAGAAAAAGAAGAAAATAAGCCCAAGAAACTTATGTAAATGCTGCAATCAAGACTGCCCTTGTATCTCACGAGCTCGGGTTGTTCAACCTTGGAAGCCACGAGGGAGAGCAAAGCGGACAGATCTTGTCATATAAGCTTTCTGTATTTGAATTGATGAAAAGAAATAACCCAGTGCAGACACTGACTGCGTCAAGGGGCAATCATAAGGATCACCATACATCCCTGAGATACCTCCCTTCCATTTGGAGATTTTTCACAATGGCCTCTGCTTTAGATGAAATTACCTTTTCCTGAATTTCATAAAGTTCAAGTATATCAAAATTGACCAATAGAAAGATATATACACACTCGCAAACATATACAAGCATAATGATATAAACACAAACACACACACAAAGATGTATATATGTATGAATGTGTTCGGAATACGGGAAGAGGTTTTCATTTCAAAAATGACAATGAATCCAGTCCATTAGATTTAAGATCTTATACAAAAAATGCTGGAAAAAGGGATGACAAATGATGACGCATTTTCTTAATTAAGTGAACGTTTTATCCACCGCGAATGATTGCAATGTGCAGGCATAAAACTGGATGTAGAGCACTAAAAGTGAAAATTTCGCATTTCTTATGTGAGCCAAGTTTCTCACTCAAATCGCACCCTCAGTTTGTGTGTAATCCCGCCCAAGCACCTTGTCTTACCCACGAGGAAGATAATTTCTTTCAGACTGTGTGTACACAAATTTATTTTGACCTCTTTATTTTCGATAGTCGGCCATAAGGCAAGGAAGAGAGAGAAGTGCAGGCGTGCAACGGATCAACAACTCAGCAAGTTGACTAGGCAAGGTCCAAGCAGGATTCTGGGTAGTCGGGTGATTCCTTATTTGGGTATGTGCTTCTATTTTTACTTCTGTCCAGCACTTGGAGAAGTTTTTTCCTTGTTTATTAAATCTTATTTATTAAACTTGTTTTTATTATGTAGTGGTTTAGCTTGCTGTTAATTAATTTCATTTGTTGTTTTAGAAGTTCAATTATTTAATTTTCACGTTTTAAAGTTTCAGATTCAATCATATTCAACTAGTTTCTTTTTATTGTAATAATCCTCAACTACTCAATGATTTAAATTGTTTTACTCGTTTAGTTGTTTAAATAACATAATAAAGAAATATTAATACTACCTCCGTCCCTTTAAACTTTGCTAAAGTTGACCGGCACGTAGAATAATAAAGTAAAAACTGTGTGGTTGAGATTTATGAGAGGAGAGAGAAATAAGAGAAACCACAAAATAATTGATTAAAAGGGATAGTGGTAAAGTTTTTTGGGACGTCCAAAAAGGAAAGATGGCAAAGTTTTAAGGGACGGAGGGAGTATTATATACGTAGTAATAACAATTAGTATGTCTTTTCACATGTTATGTACCGAATACTTTTTCATACTTTAATAACTATAATTATTTTAAGTTTTGACACTCTGTAGACTTTAGCCCTCCTTCAAAAATTGTTCTGGTTCCGCCCAAGTTCACCGAGACTCAAAGCCTTCATGTGAAATCTTAGATTTTAATACTTCCAAAACATAGATTTTGTTATGTTCTTTTTAAAAAATGAAGTCCCTGCCTTTTCAAATCTCAATCTTCTATTTCAGTTTCAATCCAAAAAACGGAAAAATGAAAATAGTTACATTTTGGTATAACTAAGTTACTCGGGAATTGAAATGTAACGAGTAAGAGCAAGGTGTATGTCTGAGTAGCGAGTGCTTGCCAATTAGATAACTTAAATTTCGTCCAAAGAAACTAAATTTCATGAAATTTGCTGAAACTAAAATTAAAAACAAGTTAAATATATAAATGCAGTTAAATAAGCAAACACGTTTTAAAAACAATGAGTACGATTTCCTGACTTTAATCATTGTACCTTGCAAAAATGTAAAAGTTGTGTCTTGGCTATCCATGACTCTTTTTTTCGGAGCAGATGGAGTAATATATAATACTACATCCGTCTCATTAGAAGGTTCCCGTCCACTATTCACATGGTCAACTTAAATCATTTTTAATCTTTTACTTTATAAATCAAATTTTTATCAAATTTACATTTTTTTATCAGACTTTGTAGCGGTTTTGGCTTGAGATTATGATGGAATAAAGCAAAATGGCTCACTAAACTGTCTGCGCTTCTTTGTAATGAAGCAACAGTCAGTCCATGCAATTTTGGACGCGATTTTCACTATGGGTCATCCGGAAACAGTCTCTCTGTGCTTTAATATAGGGGTAAGACTGCGTACATCCGACCCCCCTTACCCCACCGTAGGTGGGAGCCTTTGCGGCACTGGGGTAAATGAAAATGATGAAATGAAAATGATGACTTTGTAGCGGTTTTAATGTAGTTTCTGAATATGTTAATTTTATTTACTAGAAAAATCAGAGTGTGAACAGGGATTAAGTTGTTTTATCGTCAGTCAAGCATCGTAAACCGTCAACGGGAACCTTCTAGCGGGAAGGAGGGAGTATAAATTATAAATAGTAATAATTCATGATGCACTTGTTCCCAAGCATTGAATATAAACCACCACACATTTAAAGATTGAGGTTTCAAATACCCCCCCCCCCCTCTTGGAAGTGGGGTAGGTGGCTAATAAAACAAGTCAGAAAAAAAGTAGATAACCTGATCCTGCACAATGGTATGCAGTATGCGATGAACATCTCTAGCCATTCCTTTGGCATCACCACATACATATAGATATCCCCCCTGGGATATCAAACTCCATAGTTGGGATGCCTGGAAACAAAAACAAAAATGAAAGAACGGTGTATAATTGATCTCAAAATCATGAACTGAAGACTAACTACAACCAAAAGACTTACTCGTTCAGCCATCTTGTGTTGAACATACTCTTTCTGTGGCCCTTCCCTAGAAAATGCAACAATTAGCTCTGAGATTATCCCTTGCCTTTCAAAATGTCTGAGTTCCTCCTCATAAATAAAATCCTATATCCGAACATCAAGTCAATATATATTGCGCCAGGACCTCGCTTGTTCATGTTTTTTACGTTTCCAACTATGAAGATTAAGTAAGAGTTTACCATTCTTTGATTTCTACAACCAAAAAACAACAGAGCTTGACCAAGTTGAGCGCCATTTTCTTTTAGGGAAGCTCTTTCCTGATAAATGGAAAAGCCTAATAAAATTTGTGCAAAATTAACAAAAGCAGGTTGATACTGATGGCAAATTTGCAATACCTGTAAAAATCCCCTAAATGGTGCCAAACCTGTACCAGGTCCAACCATGATAATTGGAACTGAAGGGTCAGCTGGTAATTTAAAATTTGATGATCTGATGTAAATAGGAGCTGCTGAACTGCAGTCCTTGCTTTTCTCCAATGGAATAGCATTCTGAAAAATTTAGCAATCAATCTGTTAATGAAACAAAACAAAACAAAACAAAACAAAACAAAAACAAAACAAAAACAAAAACAAAACAAAACTAGCAAATGGATGTGGATGTGCGCGCGCCTACACACATTCCTACATACATATATACAGGTAAATATATGCACGTGCACACACAGACACATGTGGAGTATTTTCACCAAAACAAGAGCCTATGGGTTGTTGGGCACCTTCATCCATGTTGAACACACTCCTCTGTGAATCCTGCCAGTGGGGGTTGGACCATGAACTAAAGCACATGTCACATGGACTCTTTCTGGAGCAAATCTACACATATTGAAATACAATATCCACAATGGTAGTCAAACAGAAAAGTTTGAGGTTTCAAGTGCATATATACTATTACGATAAGTAAGTTCTTTACAATATTGTACAAATAAATATCTCACTTGGGGGAAGAAGAGATAGAATAATAGCGAGGCTGTAAGCGAGGGGCAACTGCAGCAAAAAATACACCAAGGGGGGGTTTTGCAGAAGGAAACTCGGCCATGACCTCAAGGAGACTTCTTTGACTTGCAACAACCCATTGTGAGTATTCATCCTATAAGGAAAACTACAAGTCATATCACATATGAATTATTGTTTTTATGAATATGCAAGTGTATAACTACCAGAATAAGAGTCTTTCTTTTGTAAAGGCAGACTAATGACAGAACTTTTTTTTACTTCAAATATTTTTTGGTTTTTCCATCAGTTGCAATGGAGCCAAAGATTCACTATTTTTTGGCTTGGGAATATGATGAAATAAAGCAAATGGCTCACTAAAATGTATGCGCTTCTTTGTTATGAAGCAGCCGCCAGTTCATGCAATTTTCGACGCGATTTTCACCATGGGTCATTTGGAAACAGTCTCTATGTGCTTTAGTACAGGGGTAAGACTGCGTACCTCCAACCCTCCCTTACCCCACCGTTGGTGGGAGCCTTTGCGGCACTTGGGTAATGATGATGATGAATGATGATGATGATATATTTTTTGGTTGTATGAGTCAGAGATGGTTGATTACCTTGCCCTGAGGTGACACCAAAAATCTAAGCCTTTCTGCTTCACTAGGTTCAGCGGCATGAGCAGCTAATGCAACCAGTGTAGCCTGAAAACACAGATCGTTTAAACAAAAAACAAAAACAAAAAATTATTACTGATACAGCGGCGGACGCAGGAATTCCCGCTAGGAGGGGCGGCAGTGTAAAAAAATACATATAAATACATATATATTAAAATTTCGGGGTAAATAAACCTAGGGAAAAAATTGCGGGGGCGGTGGCCCCCATTTGCCCAACGAGCTAGCATGCAACTAATGTAAAGTGTACCTTTCGAGGAGGATTCAACAGATCTGCATAACGAGCTAGAGCTTCTTTAAGGGTGCAAGGACCAGGGAAAGGTGGCTGTAATGACCCTCCGAGTAGTGAACCATCTTCTTTGTCCACATGAATAGAAAATAATAACTCCAGAGGCTGACCCAACAACTTTGCTGCTTCCTCAACAGTATCTTCACAATTTTCTGCATAGACGCCCACATGGTCTCCTGTTTCGTATCTGGAATATCAGCAAATAACAATGAGGAAATATCCTAGCAAGCATATCACCAATTGTTCTAGCACGGAATACATTTAAGGAAATGCCTATAGTAGTACTGGGTTAGAAAAATAATTGTATTGAAAATAAAAACAAAAACTTATTAACAAAGTAGCAATCATATTGCATGGTGTAAAAAGCTAAATGACTAGAGTATCATGGATTATGCATAATAGAATCTGCAAGACAACACACCAAGTAAATAGTGGGTGAGTCTATAATGATTTATTACATTAGTGTAACCCAACCACGAAAGTTCCAAATAATTGTTTGATCTTATATACAAATAAATTAGACAAGTTGACAAATTAACATTCAAAAACATACTATCTCACTTCAGAGAAATTACGAGAGATGTCATGTTCTGAATACTTATCCAAGAACAACAGGATCTAACTCAAGAGTCTATGGAAACATTGATTATTGACCTATTATGTGTAGTTTTATACGAACACATATAGAGGGTGTGGTTTTAGTAGAAGAGTGTTTAACGTGAGAATGTGATCTTCCAATTTGGTTCTCTATGCCATCTGCACTTTCATATTCAAAAAATGCAATTTTCTTAGCGATGAGACAAAAAAAAAACTACTTATTTACACAAAAACGTTACTGCATTTCTCATCATTTTTAGCATTATTGGTACTTTAAAATCATTAGATCTGAAACGAAGTGCACCATATTAGTTCTCATTATTATTATACACACACACATACTACTTCTGCCCCACTGTCTTTCGGGCATGAGAAAGTGATATTATGCTTATATAAAGAAAGTGAAATCAAGTGGTTGGTATTGAATTTGTAAAGTGTGAATGAGCTTGACCACAAAATATTACCAAACATTATATGGGACAAACTTAGTGGGACAAAAAAAAAAGGAAAACTAATAAAAATACCCCAAACTTTGAAGGGGTGTGAGGTAAACACCTCAAACTTGCATATGTAATTTAAATACCCTAAACTTTGTATAAAAAGTTATTTTCGCAAAATTGTCATGTATTATTTCTTTCAAAAATTTAAATTTATGGGGGTTAACTGCATAATTTAAAATAGCAAATTAAAAGGGTTGCAATTGCATAGAATGGGGGTAACATTATATATTTCTCAATGGAAGTTTGAAATGTTAATTGTGTCTTCATGAATTCCAAAATATTTTAAATTATGCAATTAACACCATAAATTTACATTTTTGAAAGAAATAATACTTGACTATGATGCTAAAAATACTTTTTATATAAAGTTTGGGGTATTTAAATCACATATGAAAGTTTGAAGTGTTCATCTCAAACCTCTTCAAAGTTTGGGGTATTTTAATTATTTTCCCCAATAAAAAAGGAATGATGGGACAAACTTAGTGGGACCGATAAAACAGGAAAGATAAGACAAAGCTAGTGAAATGGAGGGACTAGTGTGTGTGTGTGTGTGAACAAGTTTATTTTGATAAATAATTTGATAGTGGCTAATATCCATTATCCAACATAAAGTAGAGCAAGTTTGCAAAAGATAAAGTTCAGAAAATAAGAAACTACTACCTCCGTCCCAAAAAATTCTCCCCACTTACCTTTTTGGGATGTCCCAAAAAATTCTTCCCATTTCCCTTTTTGTAAAGGTTTGTGTGGCTACCATTCATTTACCTTTTTCTTACTCAACCACAACCATTCATTTCCACTTTATTCTCACTTTCTTAAACTCCGATCCAAGTCAAACCGGGAAGAATTTTCCGGGATGGAGGGAGTAGTTTGTATAGTTTTACCATTTCAGAGATCGAGTATACATTAATATGAACTTACGCTATGCCACTGCCAGAAATATCAAATTCTAAGTGTATGCATGAACGATCTGACTCAGGTGTATGAAGCTCTCTTTTAACAGCAACATTAACTCTGCAGGAAAAGCAATCAACATACATTCAAAGAACCACCAAGGCACCAACAGCACTCAAATGAAGCATAGACAAATATTGTGTAGCACCCACTTGCACGGATGGTGCACATCATATACAGCATTTCCATTTGCCATGTTAGCTTGCTTATCCTCATGAGTTCTAGTGGCAGGATCATAAACCACCACACGATATTCAGGGATTGCAGCAGTATATGGTGTAGATGGAGACTTAACATCATCCTCATTCTTAAGTATTGTGTCCAACTCCGGCCATAATAGTTCTCTCCTTGAAACAGAGAATCATTATCACATCGAAACTTTCAAGAACTGCACACATATGTATTCTAGTGTATGAAATACTACATCGATCCCCGAAAAAACTTCCCCTGTCTTTTTGGTCCGTGAATAAGGTTCTTCATTCTTTTTAAGGGAAGAATTGTGTAGTTCAAATTATTTATCTCTTTTCTGCATAACTCTCAACTACTCACACAATTTCACTTTTTAATAAGCGCGGCAAGTCAAAGGGGGCTTTTTATGGGATGGAGGACTGTAAAGTATCAAAACCCTAGAAGCCCTAAGAAATTTAAAGACAACTCACCAGGTAGCAAAATCATCCTCGATGCTCTGATCATCATCACCAAGGCCAACTGGAACAAGGCGCTTTGCACCTGATAGGTTAGCTGTGTTAGTGCAACCTTAAACATAACTAATACTCCGTCTGCCCCACTATGTTGTTACATTTTCCTATTTTGGCCTGTCCCAAAATGTTTGTCCAATACCATAAGTTACTCCCTCCTTCCCACTATCTTTGACACATCTTTCCATTTGTGTTGGTCTCACTAAGTTTGTCAAATACCATATTTGGTAATAGGGTTGCTATATTTTTTGGGCCTAACCAATTTACTTGGGTTGACTATTAAACAATCTGCAGTATTCACTATAAGATGGTAAATCATGCATGAATGGGTCAGCTAGGGTCGGGTATTGGAAAATAATAGGGTTGGACCTTTAATGTGGGCAACTGATGCAGCCATTTTAAACTCAGCTAACTTGTTTCCAAAATACACAAAAAATAAACTTTTGTGAGCCTAAACCTTGTGTATTAGTATCAAAATGGGTTTATTTAGAAGCAAATGTAATAAATCATCTACTCAAAACGATAAATATATTTAATTTCAATCACTTGAAGTCTTAGATAGAGCATAGTGGTCTTAAATGGAAAATATTTAACAAAACATTGTAGCATAATAATAGCAAGATGAAACAAAGCAAAGTTCATCAATGGCCAAGTAAGGTAACCTTTCGTCAGCCAGGTCGGCTACTATCGAGTTTGAGGGAGTTTGAGATTTTAATTCTGCAACCCTACCCGTTATGTGCAGGTTTGTACATATTTAACCCATGATTACTTTTTTGGGATCAAATACCCGATTAAAAATGGTGGATAGAGTTGGGTCGGTCGGGTTATGCGGGTTTGGGTTATTCTTGTGCAGTCCTATTTGGTAACATGTGCTGTTCTCTTTCATTATAACTTTATTCATAATTTAGAGATTCAATATCAACCACGTAATTCCACATTTCTTACTAAACATGTCACTTCATCAAGTCCCAGTCAAAAGGGCAGAATAGTCCCGAACTTATGTGGCTCATTGTCATCCATACTTTCGCATCAATAACAACTACACTATTTAAATTTTCCTTGGTGCGCCATATTCCCTTTTCCTAAATTTGGGGCGGATGGAGTACTAAGAACTCTCAAATCTCAAGAACCAAGAACGGGGAAACCCGAGGCACAGGTAATAACAGCTAATTCTACGACAACATATATTAGATTTCAAATCATTAAAATTGAGTAACTGACTCATCTAGAAGATTATTATTCAGCTGGGGGAATGGGAATATGGGATTAGGTAAGCCAATACTCAGAAGATAAATCCAAATTATTTCCACCTCTTAGATAAAATAGAGAGAGAAATCAAATTCTGCAAGGAAAATGTGAGCAGACCTTGTTCGCTTAGCTGTTCATCTAAGACCTTGCCAATCTGTTCCAAACAGATCTATCAGAGCACAAATTAGGCTGACAGAAAAGATAAAGAATAGAAAGCATTGTTTACCTTGTTAAAATGCTCGTATTGGCGGTTTCCCAGAGCAAATATACCATACGTGAGGTGTTGCAGCCAGAGACCCCTTTCTTGTCCCTTAAAAATTTCACATTCGGTTGGAATTTTTTACAAATGCACGTGCATTTTTAAGTGTTTTCATAATAAGCAGCATAAGCTACGAGAAGCACTCAGCCCGACTACCTACCTCAGTAAACCATTTGTAAAACCTTGCAGCATTATCAGTTGGCTCTCCATCCCCATATCTAGTGTTTCAACATCAACATGTAAAGACAATGATATCCAAGAAGCTGCTAAATTTCAGGATAGTGGAAGGTCAAATCATAAGTTATGTTAAAATATTGATAATTCTTACGTTGCAACCATGAAAATTGATAATGTTTCTTTCTTTAATTTATCTTCATACTGATCATCGTCGGCAGCATAATCATCCTAGTACAAACAAAAAAATGCATTTAGACTACTGAAATTTTGGGAGCAATAAAAAAAGATTCTATTTCACTTACCAAGTCAACAACTTTCACAACAGCCTTCTCATACCTTGCCTTTATCTCCTCAGCCAAAGACTGCATGAGAAATTATGTGAGAAAGATGATGACGCATGTGTACAGTAATGTAATGGTCAATGGATAGGTTGTTAATATAGAAAATTCACTTTCAAGGTGTCATCTTATCTTAAGAGATAAAAGATTGTACCAGCCCGTGAGCTTCAGGAGCAGATCCACTGAAAATCAAACCATCTAAAGCATATAATACTAAAAAATAGTTGAACATGGCATATATGCAAAACTCCATACATTGAAGAGCATGTTTAGAAAGTGTTAGCAAAAGATTAAAAGAAGCGCTTCTGCTGAAATTGGTGTTTTCAAGTGACAGCTTCTTCTTAAATTAATAACTTAAAAGCTAAAAGCTGGAAGCAAGTTGAGGGGTGTTTTAAACTGCTTTTCACTTTTTCTATTACATAAAAAGCACTTATTTTATCAAACACTACCAACTTTTACTTTTTCGGAATCACTTTTTTCTCAAACACTATCAACTATTACTATTAAACATTTTTTCCAAAATCATTTTTAAAAATCACTTTTTTAAAGTAGAAGCAATCGCAAATACTCCCTTAGGCCTTTGGGTTATTGGCCTTTGGGTCATTGGCCTTTGGGTCATTTTTTAACACACATGACTTTTTATTTTGCACGCTGAATTGTGTAATAGTTAAAATAGGTTTTAGTTATTTTCTGTCTGAATCGGTTTAAATTACGGTACAAGACCGTTTTAGCTATTTTCATATATTCTTTTCTTTTTATTAATAAAAAATAGTTTTTTTAGATGAATAAAAAATAGTTTAAATAGGCAGTCTAATTTTTACATAATTCGGAAGATTCGGGTCGGGGACTTCTGCCTGAACATATTCCGTGATTTCAATATTACTAACGGGAAAAGAAAGCACATAAAGCTCTGATTACGTTCGGCAGAAAAGTGAATACTTTGTAGTTTCATTACCTTGGCAAAGCCCTCTGCAGTTCCCGTCTGAGTTCCAAAGAACACGGTGACCTTAATTTTGCCAGGGTCAGCTACGGCGTCCTCCTCAGGCTCGGCTTCCACTGTCTTGTGGACGAACAAAGGCTTCGCCTCCTTACTCCGATCGCCCGATCTCTTCCATATATATACGAGCAACCCTATGAGGATGGCTAACGACGTCGTGAGCAACGCCACCACTGTATCATTCCCTATCGACACTCCCAACACCGACTCAACCGATCTCCCTAGCTCGGAAATCGACTCCATTTCCCCTCTCTTTCTATCTCTATCTTTCTTGCTGTCTTTCTCTCTCTCTCTCTTACTCTCTCTCTCTCTCTTTGTCTCTATATCTCCGCCTCAATATAGGATTTGTCTAGTAAAGTAGTAGTTGGCAGGTTGTTCCTGAGCAGAAATCTAGACCTCTTGTTTTCTCCCCTGCTCCGTTTGGCTCTCTAGATTTTAGGTCTAGATTTCAGGAATGATTTCCCTACTCCAGAAACATAGGACCACTACAATGGAGGAGGAGTGGCGGATCATGCGGCTGAGCACGGGAGAAGTAGATGAAATGCTGGTGTTGAGGACCTGTAACTTTTGGTGCCGCAAATAATCTTCCTTTTTCCCTTTTTTCTTGAACCCCTAAAAGAAAAAAACACTGCGTATCAAGTATCAACTTGAAAAAAGTCTTCTAATGCAAGAAGTAAAAGGGAAATGAGGACAAACGTCTATAAAAACATTTTTAATTTTTTACCGAAAATTTTGGCAATGTATTATCTATTATCTATTATAATCTAAGAGCAAAATGTTTTTGGGGAATGAATTCCCGCTCAAAAGAGTCGCTTTCAAGGTTTTGGGTATACAGATCGTGTAAATCACACCTTCATTTAGAGCATGCGTGTGGGATTGGTTAGGGGTGAAGCTCGGTTGTGTTGTGCTTTGTGAATATTCATTGAATGTGTATCATTTTTCCGTGTATGTTGGTATGGAGCACTGTTGTGAATAGAGCTACACTTCCCACTCACTTTTTTGAAGGTCTTCTATTGGTGAGATAAAGGGGAGTGAACAGTGTTTCACAGATTTGACATGACTTAACATTGAGAGAGTGGGTGAGGTTGAGATATCAGTGATGTGTGTTACATGTTTTGGGGATGCTGGGGTCTAGCTTGGATTTTCTAAAGATATTATTCAGGCAACAACAAAGTTTTGGGAATCCCCATAGGTTCAGGACTGATTTAATCAGATCCCGGGTAGAAGTCACTGCATCTTGTCCAACAGTGCATGTTGAACTCTATCCAAGACCACTCACTTGTCTCCCAACAGACACGTGTTTAATCATATTTCACGGGGAACCGCATCTCTCATTACTACCTCCTTACAAGGCAAGTAATACTGACTACAGTGGCCTCATCCCCATGCCGCTGAACTTTCATTCATCACGTCGTGTCTAGTTACCTCGCTCCCAAATGTTTTGAATTTTCTAGGACACCGACGCACTTTTTGAGTCAGTTGCAGGTCTTCAAAGACCCGTGAGAACTTCCATAGGTCTCATCTATTGCAAATGTAGACTAATGATTGGAAGGAAGTCCTGCTGTTGCAACATAAGAATCACCAACATTTTCAGACCATTGCTTTAGAGTTTATCTCTATAGTGATGAAAACGGGTGTCTACACGACCCCGAGGGGGGCTTTTATCATTTACTCTTTCTGTTTGTTTCCTGTTTTATTTCCGCAGAATAAAAGAATAAAAGCACGACGTCCCGATTCATCGGATCGTCATGAGGGAAAGAGTGGTCCACATGCTGTTAACACTGAACAAATCATTCTGGGACACTTCACTCCTCCATCACAAAAATCATCACCTTCTCTGCTATCTCTACAACTCAAATCAAATGGTCAGCTACACTCACAAATCATTATGTTCCGCTGTGTCGCCGACAAGTTCTCCTCAAATGCATTCATTCCAAATAGTCAAAAAGACTACATTGTGGAGGAGACAGAGGTCAAATACTCGTGTCCTGAAGATGAATTCCATGGGCGTCTCCTATTCTCCAAAGAATATTCATTCTAGAGGCGTCACCGGACTTCATCCAAGCTGATCAAGAGCAACTTCTGGAAGGCAAGGACTACATGCAAGATACAGAAGGTCCCTCAACCCCCGGCATCAAAGATCAAATTGTCAAGAAAACATCAAAGGGGAGATTGCAAGGATTTCTTCAGATAGCCTTCCTCAGAAGTCAAGTTCAAAGACAAAGGAAGCTGAATAATAACAAAGACAAAGATATCTGCGTTGCAATGCTGATTCAACACGATTGAACACCAAGGGGAGATTGTTAGGAATATTTTATGGTGTCCAATCTAATTAAATATCTTTGTATTTGTGTAGTTATTAATTAAACGTGTAATACGGGCCACAAATGTGTATCAGCCCGGAGGCTTCCTTGTAACCCATAAGTTAGCTAACTTCTCCTATAAAAGGATGCTAACTTACGGGAACCCTAACAATCGATAGAGGCTTTAGAGACGCAGAGGCGAGATAGAGAGAAGGGTTTCCGCTGCTCTCCTTCTCGAGGGAGAGCAACGGGGTTTATACGGTATACCAAATTCGGTTTTAATCTTCTCGATATCTTTCTATCTGGTTATTCTTCTTGTTTTGGTTGTTTGATTGTTAAATAATGGGACTATCACACACGTCAGTGTTTACATTGATTATGTGATAACGGAACACCATGGTGTCTCCGGTGTTTACCTTTTTGTTTTTTCTATTTTGTTTCCCAGAATAAAAGAATAAAGGCATGACGCCCCGATTCATCGGATCGTCATGAGGGGGAGAGTGGTCCGCATGCTGTTTACTCTAAAAAATCATTCTTGGACACTTCTCCTCCAACACAAAAAACGACGACTCTCTATTCTCTCAAAGCATCAACTACAAATTCAGCTTCACATCAAATGGTCAGCTACACTCACAAGTCAATCATCATTTTCCGCTGTGCAACCGACTGGCTCTCCTCAAAAGCATTCATTTCAAATAGTCAAAAAGACTACATTGTGGAGGAGACAAATGTCAGATACTCGCGTACTGAAGATGAATCATGTGCGCGCCTGGAAACCATCTGAACCATCAATCTAGAGGCACCACCGGAGTTCATTCAAGCTGATCAAGAGATACTTCTTGAAGGCAAGGATTACAAGCAAAAGATTCCTCAACCCCCGGCATCAAATATCAAATTGCCAAGAAGACATCAAAGGGGAGATTGCAAGGATTTCTTCATAAAGCCTTCTCAAGAAGTCAAGTTCAAAGACAAAGGAAGCTGAATAACAACAAAGACAAAGATATTTGCGCTGCAATGCTGATACAACAGGATTGAACACCAAGGGGGAGATTGTTGGGAATATTTTATGGTGTCCAATCTAATTAAATATCTTTGTATTTGTGTAGTTATTGATTAAATGTGTAATATGGACCACAAATGTATTTCAGCCCATTAGCCCACTTGTAAGCCTTAAGTTAGACATCCTTATGTATAAAAGGATGCTAACTTAAGCAAACCCTATGTCTCACAAGCCTCACGCACATTAACGCTCATATCTTTCTGAGAGCTTATACGGTATAAGAAAGCGGCAGACCATCGTTAAAATATTTTTCTATCATTCTGTGATTCTCTCCTTCTATTATATTGTATGATTGTTGATTGATTTTGGGACTAACATGGCTGAACAGTGTTCCCTCTCTTTTGAGGAAGCTTTCCTATTGGTTCATTTGGAGGTCAATAGTGTGGTTCTTCAATTTTCAGCCTAGCCTTCCCCCTATAAATTGGCAATTAAGATGGCATAGATCCTCATACTTGAGCTCTCCCAAAGCAAAAAAAAAAAACAGAAGCAAAAATCATAAGATGGTTGGCATGTGGTCTTTGTTTCGTGAGATCGACCAAAGCAAGACCACATGGGCATTCAAAGCAAGAGCGATTCGGGTTTACCGTGAACCGGCACACGACTATTTTCCAGAGTCGTTGGAGATTGTTTTTCATGATGAAGAGGTTTTTGTATCTTATATTAAAAGTGTGATCCCACCAATACACATTTAAAGGTCATACATATGCACAAATCGATGTACAAAGTTAAAACGACTCCACTGTTTTTCATGCGTAATTACCTATTGCGGTCCACATTTTACTTAAAATGCTAGTATGTGTTGTGATGAAAGATTTGGGGAGAAAATTTAAAAAACGCGGCTTTTAAATGTTCTGTAAACGGATCAATTAGTAGAAAAACGTAAAACATGCATTTCCCTGATTTCCCTTATGCGCTGACTGGGTCTTTGCTATAAAACCACTCTAAAATTATTAGGGTTCCAAGATGCACGTGCATATTTCGGACCAATACGTCAACAGGTTCATCGGTATCTTCAAGGAAGGTCGTGTTTTCGCGGTGAAAAATTTCATGGTGGAGGAGAATTATATGTTTTTCAAAACCACAACCAGTGCCTACAGACTGTGTTTCTTTAACAAATCTGCTGCTTTTGAGATCAGAGATGTCCCGTTCCCGTTGAGAACTTTCTCACTTGTGTCTTTTGCTACGATAAAGCTATGGACACCATTGATGAGAAAATAGGGCTTGGTTCGCAAACATTTTTTATTTCAACATATATAGGACGTTTTGTGTCTATAGTTATCTAATTTGTTGTTTGAATGAAGATATAATAGGACAGGTGGTACATGACAAGGATCCTAGGACAATTCTGAAGAATGAAAGGCCAAGGAAACTTATGGAGTTGGTTTTGGGTGACACAGAGTGAGTCAGCACTTAGAGTTCAAAATTTCTTACATTTAATTACAATATCTCTAAAGCATTCAAGTTTATTTGAACAAAATGTCTTTTTAAACGGGGAAACGTCATAGTGTGCACTCTATGGGGGGCGATGGTTGAAATGTTGTTGACGTACAAGCTTACGACATCGGATCCGATTATTATGCTTCTCCAATGTTGTCGGGCTAGGAAGTACCAAGGTTTTTTTCTAAGGTCTTTCTATCATATTATCCTTAATTTTTTTCAAATACCTAACATATTAAATATATCAAGGCCACGTACATGTCTCAAACATGTTCAACACCACTAAAGTGATTCTGAATGGAAACGAGGAAGAGTTTGTGGATTTCAGGTCTAGGTAAGGAGTTGACCTGCATTTATTTTTCGAGATCCTAAAAATAAAATGCAAGGACTGATAATCTTTAATGAAAAAAAACTTTAAACAGGATGGGTGAGAGGTCAGCTCAAGATTAAGCTTCACTATACAATCGGAGAATGATGGTGACATTTCAAGTGGTCAGCAGGAGTTAATGACTATTGAAGGACTGAGCAAGTTGCAGGAGGTATGATTTTCAACTGAAATTCCAGATTAAAACACTTAACATCGCCAGATCTAAATTGATTGATTTCCAGGATGGCAAACATTGGGTTTATGGTGAAATTGTCGCCATTGACAGCCACAAAGATTGGTGCTACGTTTCGTGCATTGGGTGTAACCGAAAAGTTTCACCTAATGGTGAGAACTTTTGGTGTGTTTCCTGCAGCTCAAACGATGCAGTTCTAAGGTTGAATTTTCTATATTGAATGCCATCTTACAAGTACATGACACTTGCTAA